TTTCTTTAATTTCCTTAATCATTGTTTTTATTTCTCTGCGTAGAAGTCTTTCACCTTCTTTGTCAGGTTTAGTGGTAAGTTTGTTTTTTTTTTTTTTTGATGTGATTTAAAAGGGATTTTTTTTTTTTACATTCCTTTTTCTGATATTTTGGTATTTCATTGTTAGTGTAAAGAAATGCAACTGATTTATGCATGTTAATCTTGTTAAGATAGATAGCTTTTTGAGCAAGGCACCAAAGCAATCTTCTTCACAAATGGTGCTGGAATAACTGGATATTTACATGCAGTTAGGGGACCTCAACTCCTGTCTCACACCATATACAAAAAAATGTATTCAAGATGGATAGCAGACTTAAACATAAACACTAGAACTACAAAGCTTCTAGAAGAAACATAAAAGAGTATCTTTACAACTTAGATATTTCTTCGGAAAAAATTGGTAAGACTTTATCAAAATTAAAAACTTCAGCCCAGCAAAATATACTGTTAAGAAAACAAGTTATTGTGGGGTGGGGGGATGAGTGAAATAGGTGAGGGAGAATAAGAGGTATTAAACTTCCAGTTATAAAATGAAGTCACGGGGATATAATATTCAACATGGAGAATATGGTTAATACTATTGCCATAACTTTGTATGGTGACAGGTAGGAACAAGATTTAGCATGGTGATCACTTTGTGATGTATAAAAACGCTGAGTCACTATGTTGTACACCTGAAATTAATATAATACTGTAAGTCAATTATCATTCATTTAAAAAACAAACAAACCAAGTTGTTGAGAGAGTGGATCTCTAATGTTCTCACCACGAAACAAGAAATGGTGACTATGTGATGTGATGGCAGTGGTGGCGATCATTTTGCAATGTGTGTGTGTTATCAGATCAACACGGTGTAAACCATAAGCTTTTAATGTTACATGTCGACTCTATTTCAGTAAAACTACAGGAAAAAAAAAAAGAAACAAGCAGGCCATAGACTTGGATTAAACGTCTACAAAACAACCATCTGACAAAGGACTAATGTCCAGAATACACAAGAACATTTACAATTTGATAATAGACTTACAACTTGACAAAATATAGGTAAGAGAACTGAAGAGACACAGAGTAATATATACAAATGGCCAGTAAGCACCTCATCATTAGTCATCAAGGAAATGCAAAAGAAAACTGCAAGGAGATTTACCGTATGGCTGAAGACCAACCATGCCAACTATTGCCAAGGAAGGGAGCTACTGGAACTCCCATACATGGTCGGTGAGAGTATAAATGATACGTCCACTCTGGAAAAAGATCTGGAAGTTTCTTATAAAACTAAACATACACCTATCCTGTCATCCAGTGATTCCATTCCTTGGTATTTACCTTCCAAAATGACAGCTTCTGTTCTCAAGAAGACGTGTACTAGAATGTTCCTAGCAGCTTTATTCATCATAGGGGAACAGCCCAATTATCCGTCCATCATGAATGGATACACAGACTGTGGTTCACGCATACTTAGCAATTAAAAGGAAGGAAGTACTGATACACATGATGACGTGGATGAATCTCAAAAGCCGAGTGAAAGAGGCCTCACACCAAAGAGCACGTACTTCATGATCCTATTTTCATGAAGGTCTAGAAGAGGTTAAACTAATTTGCGATGAAAAAATTCAGACCAGTGGTAACCTCTAGAGTGGGGACGGGGCAGGGGTGGACTGGGAAGAGGAAGAGGGAACATTCTGGGGGTGACGGCGATGTTCTGTGTGTTGATCGTTCTTGTTGCATTTGTCAGAACCTATCAGACGGTACACTGAAGAGTTCAGCATTTCACTATACATTTTACCCCCACTGACCCTCAGATAGAAACACATACTAAACTCTGTGGCTCATGACAAGCACACAGAAGTATTCAGGAGGGGGCGTGCACGAATGTGTGCAACTTACTTAGAAATGCATCGCAGACTAAGATGTACTGATGGAGGGGTAGAGGGGTGGCTGAATGGTTATGTAATAAAGCAAATACAGCAAAATGGTCACTGTACGATCTAGGTGGTGAGGAAATGGGCATTCACTGAACAATTCTTTCAACTTCTTTGTATGTCTGAAAATGTTTATAATAAAATTTTGGGGAGGGAGGGACCTGGACAAATACAAAGCTAGAAAAAAAGGACAGAGCTGCAGTACTCAATATCCTCCCCAGCTCTAAAGTCGAAGAACTACAAAACTGCTTGAAGGGAAACACCAAGGTCCCCACTTCTATGCTTGCCTCCAGTTTGGCTCCAGTATGTAAGAAACCCCAGAACTACAGCCCCATCATCATAATGTGCCCGTGGGCCTCAGGTCCCAAAAGCCAGAGCAGCATCCAGAGGTTTCGGGCCCAGAAGAGACGTCGAGAAAGCCTGTGTTTGTGTGGGGGACGAGGGCCCCAGTTCGCCTGTTCTAAGTCATTTGCTACAGTTGGGAAATTAGGGTTCTGGGCATAACCCAGGGATCAGCTGGGCATTTAATGCTAAGCCAGACTCCCCGTGACCACAGCTATGTCAGCTCCAATTGGAGTTTCAGATCAAAAGCATCATTTTCAAACATCACTATGACTTACTGTGCACTAGTGTGTGCTGGGCGTTTTACATGGCTTCATTCGATCCTCACAACCATCCAGTGAGAGGTTTATTATCCCGATTTTATGGTTGAGGAAACTGAGGCTCAGAGAGGATAAACAATGTACCCAGGAACACACAGCTGGAGTTAGGATGCAAGTACATTCCATGAAGCTCTGGGGCCCTTTCTAGAAAGCCGTCTGCTCTCAAGCTCCTCTCTGGACCAGAGGTGACAGGGATGCAACCTGTGTGTCTATTAACCTTTTCGGGAGGTTTACAGCAGGGAGAACTGGGCTTCAGGGGCACTGAAGAATTTCATTACCTCAGAGCAACAGACCCTGATCTCTCTCCCTGAGGCTCTGCCCTGGGTGGGGGCTGTTTGGCCACTCCACGCTATGGGTTTCCACGCCAGGCTTGCTCATTAGGCCAGAAGTACTTTTCATATGTCCACCAATCAGAGTCTTGCATTGGTCTTCCCTCCTGTTCTTTCTGTTAAAAGAAGTGTCAGGTGCCACCTGTTTTCTACCTGTAGGTTTTAATGACTCAGCAGAGTCCAGCAGCTCCTTTCAAGCTCCTGCCTGTACATACTCCTTTGTCTGTCTTCACCCTCTATCACACCCTCCCTCTACACTTTCCCACTGGGTTGTGCCCAGTGACAGAGCTGAGGAGGGGTGGAAGCGCCTTCCTGCCAAGTCTGGGTCTGTAACTGGGGCTATCAAACTCCTGCAGAAGATCAGGGGTGGAGGGGGGGAAGGGGAAATGTTAAGAGGCTCTTAACTGGGAAAAGTGTCTCACAAGCCTGAATTCCCACAACACCTTGGATTCTGATCAGAGTTAAGAGCTCAGATCCTTCCCACCACGAAAAAGATGCAACCCCTCCTATACCATTTCTCATGGGCTCCACGCCAGCACCAGGCATCTGACTCATTAAGGCAGGTATTAGGGGTTAGAAGAAAAGGAAAGAAAAGGAAAGAAAAATAAAATCCATAAGCACCAGGCTTAGTGACTTACCAGAGCTTTTTAGGGGTGATCTTTAGAAAGAAATATGTGTATACAGAGATCAAGTACATCATTCACTTATTTAAAAAAAAAAAAGGAAAAGACCAGAATCCTATGAAAATTTCTTTAATTTTCGTCTTTTGGAAATACATTTTTCATTTTTATTTCCATGATACAAAAATGTTAAATATCTAACAATGATCGATAATGAAGCAGATCTACTGAAGCAGATCCACGGAATTCTGTTGCTGTTGTGATCTGTTTCAACAGAGAAAGGGCTGGTACATGTTGTAGATTTGTCATAGTATCACACACACACACACACAAGTACTCACACTCGCCAGCTCACCCCCAGACCCACTCATACAAACAGAGAAGACACCAGGCTAAGACACTGAAACGTGAACGCAGCACTACATGGAGTAACAGAAATTAACTTTTCACTCATACAAGAAACTTACATCTTAGGGGAAAAAAACACCCCTCTAAATAAATATGCCCCAAAGGCCAAGGCATATGTTGACAGCGGTAGACATTTTCCTGCTGGAAAAACAAGCTGGAGAGCTTCATGTTTTTAGGCAGCTGTAGTGGGAAGCAGGCAGACACAACTGAATTCCCTACCAGGAGATGGTACCCATGTGCTGGGGCTGCTCCAGACCTGAGCGTGGGAAGGTGGACGAAGCAGGAAAGAGTTCAATCCCAAATTCATGATCACAGCACTCGAGAGGGTCGGCTCTTCATGTGTATTTCATGGCCGACCTTCCCCATCAGGTGGCTTCTTAGACACTAATTCATGACAGGAAGGGCTTCACACGAGCAACAAATAATTAACAGGTTAATCACATACACATTTATGACAGCCTACAACCATGCTGAGTGCCAGTGGAGAGTTGACTTTAAAAAAGGAAGAAAAGAAACACAGCCGTGAAAAAAAAACCTGGGACTCTGCAGGAGACACACTTGGTTTCAACCCCTCCCAGAGCACAGTTTGTTAAACTAAACACAGTATGGCTTCCAAACGTGCCGGCTGGTTCTTTCTTTCTCAGCAACAGCACCAGCGATTTGTTCCACTTGGGTCTTGGTTACCACGTGTCAGGGACTTCAAAGAGCTTGGCCGAGCTGTCCGAGATGCTTCCTGGTGGGAAAGGACAAAACAAGATGAACAAGGAGAGGACAGCCCCGAGAGGAGAGCAGAAGGACCAGCAGAGAGCAGCGTGCCTGGTGCCAGCTGCACAGACAGCTTCGATCAAGGCCGGGGCTGGGGCCAGGCGGTGGGACAGCCACAGCTGGAGGAAGTCCACGGACAGGTCTTGTCTATGGAGAGCGGTGCCCAGCAAGACGGCCACACTGCAGAAACATCACAGGCAGGAGTGAGGAAGTGACTCCCTGCTCGGGAGCCTCTGTTGATTTTTAGAGGAGTTAAAATGTGGAAGCTTACACTCTCTCGGGGAGCACACACGCTGAGTTCTTTGCTAGCCAGCATGCTGGGTGCTTAGTTCACTGAATCTTCATGTAGCCCAATTCAGTGGTACAAATACCCCCATTTTACAGATGCAAGACAGCTAGTGAGTGGCTGAGGTGGGGTCTGGATCCTTCCACCGCATCAAGATCCCTGCTACAGTCCCAGGAGACTGGGTTTCTGTGTGCCGTGTGACCGGCACCAGGATGAGAAATCTCAGGCGCTGGTGGCTGGAAAGTGGAGGGATGCTGGCCAGTGGGGGTTCAGAGATCCTGAAAGGGGCAAAAGCAGCTTAGAACCTTCTCCAATTTCAGCAACATGGGCTACAGTGTTCTTGGACTGAAGGAGTCTCTTCCGTTACCAACAGTTTCACTCCAAAGTTAGAAGCCCTGCTCCATTCATGCCAGTTTCTGCTATGGCAGCAGCAGCATCCCCAGGTCAGAGCCTGGACCACACCTGTCTAGAGCCGACTGAGTGGGAATTGAGTCAGGGAAGAGCGAAAGTGTGGCAGGGGTGGGGGAAGGTACAGCTCAGCAGTAGTGTGTGCTTAGCATGCATGAGGTCCTGGGTTTAATCCCCAGTACCTCCATTAAAACCAACCAAACAAACAAACCTAATCTCCCTCCCTCCCCCCAAAAATGGCATTAAAAATAAATTTAAAAAAAACAAGAAAGCAAGGTAGACAAGGTGCCACTGTGTCCGTGGTATCATGCATTGTTTCATCTGTAAAAAAGGGTTGGCAGGGACACAGGCAAAGCCAAGCTCAGCTGCTAACACTCCAAGATTTCGAAAGGGGAGAGGTCTGTGATGGTGCCTAAAATGGACAGTAACT